CGGTTTGGTGCTAAGATTGGCATGGGGAATTGACGATGCCAGCAAAAAGTATGCCCCAAGTCCACAGTCCAAAGGTGGAAATTATCGTGACTTCCATGGCAAAGGATCCTGGACAAGGTGAATTTACTTAAGCCTTCTGATAACACGACCAATTTGCGAAAATGAAGTTAAATAAGACCGCCTTACTAAACACATTTATAAAAATATAGATAGATGGCCTATCCCATTAAAAATGAAGTAACTTATCACAACACGGATATTTAATAATTTATACAGAGCATAAAACGGTTAAACACTGAGCAGCAAAAAAGTTCATTTATAAAAAGGAATAGTTCGAGGCAGTTAGGATGAAGATATTTGTAGAGTACTAATGTAAATGGTAAAAAACGGCACTCGGACTGTTTACCTCAAACCAATAGTCATAAACCATTCCTTGTTCTGGCATGCAGAAATCTATCCGTCCCCCAAATATCTTCGGAACAGGATGATTAGTATTCTGCCCCGCCAATAATTCCCGTATGAAAGTGCTGAAAAGTGTGCGACTGTCAAAATCTAGGCACCCACCTATGGCCCAAACCAAGCCGAAGAGCAATGAAGAAAAGCACCAATTCCTCAAATGACGGTTGTCTTCTGCATCACTGGCTACAGCCGCTTCACCAACAAGAGCATCAATGAAGCCCAACAATGAGCAGACCAGATTTGTAGGGCTAGTAGGAACCATTTGACGGCAAGAAGTGTAAACGAAACGCAAGGTTGGATCGACAAGCCACTCAAGAAGAGACTCTAGTGCTTCCTGACCATCTCCTGCAGATAACAATGGCGGTAGCCTCTTGAGCCATGAACATGCCAGAGGGCGCCAGCCAAGGGAGCTAGGTTCAAGATATATCATGCCACAGCGTGAAACTGTAGCAGGCTGTTAATCGTAAAAAGTTATTTAATAGGTTAGTTGAGAAAATTTCTTGGTAAAAATGCAATGGAATAAACCAATTATTTGACTAAAAATCAAAAGCATTACACCTTAATGTACACCAACAAAATTTGAATTATTTAATCACCTAACAAAGGAATTAGTCAAATATAGTATCAGCTATGCTAAAGATTTATTTGAAACTTTAAAGGATTACATTGACTCACTAATTAAAAATTGAATCTGGGGCAAGATAGCAAATTGAATCGATTCTTTTTCAAGTTTAGAATTTTTGAATACAAGAGAGCCAGAAAGATTTTAGGAAGTTCTAATTAAAACCTCATAAAAACTATTCGATGTTTATTAAGTATAAAAGGTCCAAGAAAATAGATAAATGATCTTCAGCATGTCTTTAGATGTGTCAGCTCAAATAAAAGGATTAGTGTGAGAAATTCTTGTTTTAAAATAAGATGATTTCAAA